ATAACTTTGATATTTAATTAGAAAAATAGTGCACAAAAAAGATAATAGATAATGTAGTGAATATAATCAATTGATGAATTTGAATGTAAAAATTTTTACATTTGAGAAAAATAAAGACAATATAACTAATGAAAATATTTCTTTTAATTAATTTATTGATAATTAATAATTTTTTTTTTACTGAATAAAGACATTGTAAGGATAATGTAACGAATATAATCAATTAATAAATTTGAATATAAAGAATTTTTATATTGAAGAAAAATAAAGACAATATAACTAATAAAATTATTTCTCTTATTTAATTTATTGATAATGAATATTTTTTTTTTGAATAAAGGCATTGTGGACACATAATTCTAAATTAAAGAAATGCATATGTATTATTTTTTGTTGTAACTACTAAATTATTATTTATATAATTTAATAAGAGTAAAATAGAGTACTAATTATGCCAACTTTGATTTGGATGAGGTTCGAACCTAAAACCCTTTTTTTTTTTATTGAAATCAATGAGTAAGTTAACTGTGAACTAACGGCAATTCTTAAAATTTTAACGGAATTAGTAACGGTGTGTGGGTATTTTAGGAAATTTTAGTGTAAAATTTAAATCTGATCAATCTTTTAATCAATCTGAGCCATTCATTTGATTAAAATCTGTGACCGCCATTTTTTCTACCCATTATAGGCCTAACTCTCTTGGGCTCTTATTAGTATAGTAGATATATAATTTATACTAGTTCTTTTACGCGCTTTGCGCGAATGGAATAATGCCTAATGATTATTTTTAAATAAGTATTTCAAAGTATATCAATGCAATATTATATCGGAGATGTTTATGCATAGGTAAATAAATATTGAATTTGTTTATTTAAATCATAATTTAAAGTATATAAATGCAAAATAATATATGAGAGATTGATTATATTGTCACTAAAATAAATGTTTGCAACTTTGTAATAACGGTAGTCTAAATACTTTGTCTAAAAACGATAGTCTAAATAAATACTACTTTTCATTTAAATTTTTCTAATTCTTCTTAATTCTCTTTTGGGTAGCATTGTCATTGTCTTCATCTTCAGTACATTTTTTTTTTATTGATAGTATGTCATGTGCAATTGGGTTACTGGTGGTAGCATAGATGGATATGTGTAGGAAGCTTTAGATTTGTCTTGTTGTGTATATGATGAGATCTTAGTTGTACTATTAACTCTTTATCTTACAAGCACCTATTGATATTTGGTAGTGGTAGTTTTTCCCCTACATGTTTCATGCGTTGTAAGATGTGTGTCGTAGGAGATTATAGTTATATCGAAAGGTATGGCGTTGTACTCTAAGGATCAAACACACCAGGTCCTAGATTATCCGAGCGGCCAATTTCCTGCCTTGAGTTCATTGGAGATTTCAAAACTAAATAAACATTTCACAGCATCAGAAATCAAGAGCGCAGTGTTTGATATGGAACCTTGCAAAGCTCCAGGACCGGATGGCTTCAATGCATCCTTCTACCAAAACGCGTGGAATATAGTAGGAGGATCTGTAACCAGATATGCACTGGATTTTTTTGAAAAAGGCATTCTTCCTGAACATAGCAATGATACGCTAATCACGCTCATCCCAAAGACCATTTCTCCAGAAACTGTGAAGCAATTTCGTCCCATCGGGCTATGTAATGTATCCTACAAATTGTTGACCAAAGCAATGACAACCAGACTCAAGGACATCTCCAAAAATTTGATTGGAATTCACCAATCAAGTTTTGTACCAGAACGACAGATTGTGGATAATATCCTGGTCTACCAGGAGATCCTCAACTCTATGAGGTGCAAGAAAGGAGCTTCAGGATGGATGATTATGAAGATTGACTTGGAAAAAGCGTATGATAGGTTGAGTTGGAGCTTTATTGAATACACTCTCAAGGATATCGGACTCAACGGAGATTGGATTAGAAATATTATGACTTGCGTGTCCACCTCAAGGCTGGCAACCATTTGGAATGGCCAGCAATCTGAGTGGTTCAAACCGGAACGGGGAATCAGACAAGGAGACCCCATTTCACCCCTTCTCTTCGCCTTGTGCATAGAGAGACTAAGTCACTTGATAAAAATATCAGTGGCAGCAGGTAAATGGAAAGGCTTTAAGATTAACAATTTTAGCTCTAATATTTCCCATCTGTTTTTGCAGACGATATGGTTCTAATAGGGGAAGCAACTGCCAATCAAGCTACAGAAATGAAGACCTGCCTTGACAAGTTCTGCAAATACTCTGGCCAACGAGTCAACCTGCTGAAATCTTCCATTTTCTTCTCCAAAAACGTTCCAAATGAAATTCAACTGGAGATTGAGAGGATTGGTGGCATCCCGAAAGTTTCTAGCATGGGAAAATATCTTGGAGTTCCTTCTATCCATGGGAGATTGAAGACCGACTCCTTTACAGACATGATTGAAAAAGTTAAATCGAAGCTGTCAGGATGGAGATCGCGTACACTTTCTCTCGCTGGTAGATACACACTTGCAAAATCTGTTTTGGCATCGATGCCTTATTATACGATGCAATCAATACTGTTACCTGCTGGAGTCACAGCTTCCATAGAGAAATTAATCCGAAGCTTTCGGTGGGATGGTACTGATGATTCAAGAGGCCTACATCTAATCAATTGGGACACTGTAACAAGGATGAAATTCGATGGTGGGCTGGGCATTCGAAGACTCGACCTTATGAACACTGCCTTTATGGCTAAACTCGGCTGGAGATTGGCTCAGAATGAGGATAGTCTTTGGGTACAGCTTTACAAAGCCAAATACACAGCTTCAAATCCCCAGTTTTCAGAATGGACGGCCAAAGCAAATATGTCGAGCACTTGGAGGGGAATTCTCAAAGCCACCCCACTGCTTGTTAAAGGAACCAAATTCTTCGTTAGGAATGGAAGAATCACACGGTTTTGGCTTGACAAGTGGATTGATGACGATCCTCTATTTCAGTCTGCTTTGACCCATATTCCAGAAAATGATATCCTCAGACCAGTGGCCTATTATTGGAACCCCCTTGAGGGATGGGAATGGAGCAAAATAGATAGATTTCTGCCAGAGGACATTTTAGCTAAAATTGCCGCATTCATGATTGATGATGACCCGAACCAAAGTGACTATATTGGTTGGGCAAAAGAAGCCAGTGGCAAGTTTTCGGTATGCTCAGCTTACGAGTTAGCAACAGAGCAGGGGCCGCCTTTACAAGCAGCTAAATGGAACAACATCTGGAAATTAAAGGTTCCCAATCGTATTTGTTTATTCTTATGGCTAGTCAAACATGAAAGGATAATGACTAATGCAAATAGGATAAAACGGGGCTTTACAAGTTGCGATAAGTGTTGGTATTGTCAAAATGAAATCGAGGACACCAATCACGTCCTAAGGAAATGTCCACTGGCACAAGAAGTCTGGGAATTGATCTCCCCCGATCACCATAGCGCAACAGCTCTCAAGCCATTCTCAGACTGGTTGGATCTAGGAGTCAAAGGTACGCTTAGTAGAAGCCCTTCAAGTAGTAGCACTCTATTCGCTTTAAAATGTTGGTGGCTGTGGAAATGGCGCAACGAAGCTATCTTCAATGGCGTTGAATTCTCCCTAAACTCCAAGATTTCTTGGATTAAAGGCCAGTTCGAAAACATAACTACAGCATTTGCCAAGACCAGAGGCGATAAGTCTCACCTAAGTAATCAATCCTGGGGACTCAAAAAGTGGATCAAACCATTGGAAGACCGAGTTAAGATCAACATAGACGGATCGGTCGACCTGAACATAGGCAGGGCAGGAGGAGGAGGCGTCATAAGGGACTGGAATGGAGCATGGAAAAGTGGCTTCACTTTGGGGATTGGCATATGCTCACCACTAGTAGCTGAAGCTTGGGCCCTTTTAAAAGGAATCCAGCTGGGACTATCAAAAGGCTTAGCTTATCTAGACATTGAAAGCGACTGCAAGGAGCTGGTAACAGGCATTACAAATGGCAAAATTGACAATGTGATTGCACAGAACATAATCAATGCTTGCAGAAAGGAGTTAAGTAAGGTCGAAGAATGGAAAGTCTCCCTAATCTTCCGCGAGCAGAATGGCGTAGCGGACAAACTCGCTGCCATCTCCAGAAATCTCCCAAGGGGCATCCAAGTTCTCGATACCCCGTTACAAGATGTAAAGGCACTGCTACAAGATGATAGCTACGGTATCCCAGCATGGCGACTAGCCTCAGATAGTTGTATGTAAACTTTGTTTTCCTTGGGTCTACCCCTTCCATCTTATATAAAAAATATGTGAAAATGTTATTTAATTTTATTTTATATACACTATAGTTTTATTAAAACACAACTACATGATCATTTTGATATAATTACAGCTTCATTGTACAATATACACTCAAATATGTGAAATGTTATTCAGTTTCAGTTTATATACACTGCAGTTTCACTATAACTACAGTATCGTTTTGATATAACTGCAGTGTCGGTTTGGATATACTGTAGTGTCAGTTGGTGTTTAATACACCAAACAAACGGACTCCGTTAACTCTAACGGCGGGCCGTTTCTTTAAGTGTAAAGAAACGGCGCCGTATATGGGCCGCGGTGCATAATCGATTATGCACCGCGGTCTATAATATAACAACTGGTTATGTGTCTTCACACTGCGGGTCTAAAATGAATTAACTATAAACACAATTTTTTGATTAGAGTTCAGTTGTTATACCATGGACCAGGATTCATCTTTCAAGATGGACCCTGATCTTAAATTGTGTACTTTTAGTATTGAAATTGTGAACATCTACAAAATAAATTATGTTTTTAAGTTTTGTAAATTTGTGAATACAATACATTATTATCACAAATTGTAAATTTTTAAAAAATAAATTTTGAACATTAAATATGTAAATTATGTATCTTTACTCTTCTTTAAACTCGGATCCACAAAATAATATGGCTTAATAATGCAATATGGTCCATGACTCCATGGTATTACAATTTACAATTGTTGTGTTTCTGAATCGGTTCAAGAGTGGTTGGATGTTGAACCGACTGGACTGGTAACAGAAATACAGTTCATAATGATGGGCATGGCAGTGTTGAATGATGATAACCACACGTGCATTCTAAACATCAGGACCTTTTCGGGAGATACGCGATGCCAATGTTTTTGAGCTGCCTCTTCTTCTTCTTCCTCTTCCTTTTAGTAACCACTGAGAGAACCAGAAAAGCCGTATGAACCTATTACTTTAATCCTCTTGCAGAACGCGATCGATTTCGGGAAGGGCCTCGCACTGACACAGAGGGAGAAAGATCGCCACACCTTTCTCTCTCAGGTCAGGTCTCTCCTACTAATCTCCGCTGCCTAAATCGCGCGTTTGCATAGGTATGTATAATCGTGTGATTGAATTGACTGTTTGTGGTGTTTCTGTAATGACGCAGGCATTTGTGAAAGACGTGTGAGATCTTCCTGGAATCGGCGTTTATTGTGGCAACGTTACTCTCTGTTGGATCTCTTGCGGTTGGGGCTTCTCCAAATCCTCGCCGCCATGGGGTACGTGTGTGTGTGTTTTCCGCTTTTTATTGTTTTTAATTTTTTCGGATTCGTTTAGAATTCGACTCCTTCACGGAATCAATCTTTTGTTTTTTTTTTTTTTTTTTTTTTTTTTTTTTTTTTTTTTTTTTTTTTTTTTTTTTTAATCCTTAATCCTTAATCGTAATAAATTGTGCTAAGTTTGCATAAAGCTCAGTGGCTCAGAACTAACAATATAGCGACGCATTCGTAGACAGATGTCTTGAGAAACAATAATTCTGGAATCTATAGATATTGAGTATTGCTACCGGTTCTCGATACGAAACTATTGAGTAATTGCATTTTTTTTTCTCTTTCCTTTGACGCTGTGTTTTTTTTTTTGGATTCTGTAAATTTTGTTTCGGGTAAGAACTTTCAACAATAATTAGAATAGTTGAGCCGTTGATCATGTCCTAAGGTTTCTATACCTTGGTTATTGATTGATTGTGTAGTTGGAAGTACCTTTACTATCTCTGGTCTTGTCAGATAATTGCAGGAAAAGCAGAATTTGTTTTTACTTAGAGTGGCAGATTGACAGGAAACATTGTTGTAAAAAGGTTGGAGTAATGGTTTCAAAAAAAAAAAAGGTTGGAGTAATCTGTTTTTCTTTGATCCCTGTTTGTTAAAGCATGTGCAAACTATGATGAATGAACCTATTGGAAATTCTGGTAACCCTGATTTCTTAAAGGGAAATAGTGTACTGCTGGTTTAGGTTTTTGTGGAAGGAAAGGGCTATAACTGAGGGTGTGACACAGTTTTCCTATATCTGCACTCTGATGCTAAAGGGTGATCTTCATGTAGGGTGATAAATGGTGACTACCAGTTAGTTTTAGTATGGCATGCTGTCATATATGAGCCATTTGAGTAAAAGGAGAAAATTGAATTGTCTCAGTCATCCAAACTAGTTGGGCAGAGAGGTCTAGAGTTAGTTTGTCACAACGGTTTTCTATTTTATTTTGATCAATAATTTGTAAGTTCACTTCTGTTTGCACTGGGTATGTTGTTCTGGTTCTTAGTCATTTGTGACAAGGATAACTCTGTTCAAAAACTTAAGTAGGCACTTAACTAGTTACTTTCCCACAAAAGTTGTAGGATAGCAACATGCACATGCTTGTGTACACTGTACAGTATGTTCCTCACTCCAACCATTTTTGATATAAGTGATAGAGCAGATATGTATTCTGTGTGTACTGTATTTTGTGAAAGTTATATAAGGCTGTTATCTTAACAGAGGCATTGATATTGTTATCAATGCAATGTTTGTGTAAAACTGATTCTTACAGAAACTAATCCCATTCGTAACAGAGCAGTGGTTGTCTTGGATGCGATAATAAGGCAAAATTGACTTTATCCTTGAACAAGTCAGCAAGAAGGCAGAAAATAAAGGATAGCAAGGCTCCAGTACGTAGCACATCAGAAGATTTCTGGACTACTAGCACACGGGACATGGATAACAATGTTGTTCAGTCTCGAGGAAGCATATCATCAATTAGTACGTCAGCCCAGGCACATGATGCCCACAGCAGTGGAAGTACAAACACCCCTTCTGAATTTGTAAATCATGGTAAATCTTGTTGCTCAAGGATTTAACTCTCCATATAAATGCCTACTTGCCTGCCTACCCCCACAACTATTTCAATGTTGCTTTTCATTTGTTTCCAGGCCCTAATAAATTACCCCATTAGATGTGCTTTTTCTTGCTTATATCATGTGATACAGTCAAGTTACTGTATGGTGACTTTCTTGCTCTCAGGACTTATTCAATGGACCCAAATTCGACAGCAGTGGGTGGGAAGTAAAAAGTCTGAAAATCAGTCACAGCAGCTGCTTGAGCCCAGATTAAGGTAAGATGTTTGTCTTTACAAAAAACTTGTGCAGTAAGCATTAAAACTTTTCCTTGAATACTATTATTTACTAATTCTTTTATCTGGTTGAATAAATTTGCATTTGGTACTAATTTGCATGTGTGACAGTGTGTAATAGTTGTTTTTTATGTTTATATAACTGCAGGGAGAAAAAATCTTGAAACATTTGAGAAGTTGTTATATATTCCTGCATGTTAATCTTGTACCATGCACTTAAAATGCATTATAAGCTATTAGCTTAGCCTTTATGATTTGAAGAGACTAGGATCTCTGCCCTTCCAACTGTCTTGTCTAGTTGCCTTAGAATCCAATATGTTGGATATAATTACATCGAATCTTTTGTGTTTTTTATCTGGTGGCAAGCTAATGCCTTGTTAAGATATAGATTTTCTATGACTACCTTGCTAAAGAGAAGCTAGCTTGTGAATTATGATCATAATGTTGATATCATTTTGTTATGTCTTTAAAGATAGCAGTATAGCACTTTTGACAGAGATTAGAATAGGTAGATATATTTTAATCCCTGACCCTGTGGTGCTTCATATTTCTTCAGCCCCTTCATTTCTATTTAGTACCATTTTGTGAACCAAATTATTGTTAGCATATTTATAATATACTGTACATGGTCAGAAAACTTGAAAAGGTGGAGAAAAGCAGAGGTTGTCATGAGTGGAATGCTAAAATCTTGTACATGTTATGTCCTTGCAGTTGGAATGCTACATATGATAGTTTACTTGGTAGCAACAAACAATTCGCTAAGCCTATACCCCTTCCTGTAAGTCCACCAATCCGCGGAGGCTTTTTGTTATGTTTTTTGGAATATATAAACAAACTAAAGCTGCTTCTGGGAATATGTTATGATGAACATTTTGTTGTTTGAAACTGGCAGGAAATGATAGATTTTCTTGTGGATGTTTGGGAGCAGGATGGTTGGGATGTATGATGACTGAACCTGGTGTAACATTAGTTAGTTGGACAGAATTGATGAATGTACTTTTAGTTTGGTTTATTTATGGCAGATAGGTAATTTAAAGTAAAAGTGCATTTTGCCTTCTGACAAATTCAGACAGACACAGATTCTGGTACTGGAATGATCTTTTATAGTATAGACTACTACAAAAACACAAATTCGGTGGTTCTATCTGTGTACGTTGCTGACTTTGTTTCAAATGAATAAGTTATTTCTTGTTATACTTCTGAGTTGAAATCATGTACTATGCCGCATTCTTACGATTCTTATACCATGGACTAGAGTCCTTTACATTGTAAACTCTAATTTAATAATTATGTGTTTGTAGTTAACATATTGTATATCTTCTGTTAATATATTATGTGCTTATAATAAATTGAAGGTACATAATATACAATTGTATATTATGTGTCTACAATTAACATATTATGTGTTTTCAATTTATTTACACTACAAGTACATAATATGTTATTATAGACATAATTTGAATATAATTTTACACCAAGGTTTTATATTAATTATAAATATATAATTGAACAAATTGCACTTTTGGTCCTGTGAGTAGTATGGTACTGGCAATTTGAGTACGTGATTTTCAAAATTCCCAATTTAAACCTTTAACTATGCAAAAATTGGCAGATTTGGTCCTCCGGACCAAATTGCCGGCCAATTTTGGCCGGAAAAACATAAATTGGTTCGAATTTATTTATGTTGAGGGCAAAATCGTCATTTCACTCCCTTCTTCTTCATTCTCCCTTTCTTCTTCATTCTTCTTCTTCTTTCTTCGCTTCTGATACTGCAACAGATACGAGTCTGAGTGCGTTGGCCCAGCACAAAAGGCATGGCGGGTCATTGGTGTTAATGGGCGTAGGCATGGCGGGTCACGCGGTTTCTCTGGATGCATTCCTCCGCCACCACCAAACCCCCTGTCATGATGATCATCTTAACCAACAAGCTGATGAAGAAGAAGAAGAAGAAGAAAAAGAAGATGAATTTTGGAGTGTAAACAACCACCAAACCCGATATCTCTGGATGCATTCCTCCGCCACCATCAAACCCCCTGTCATGATGATCATCTTAACCAACAAGCTGATGAAGAAGAAGAAGAAGAAGAAAAAGAAGATGAATTTTGGAGTGTAAACAACCACCAAACGCGCCATGCCTACGCCCATGAGGATTTGCAGTATCAGAAGCGAAGAAAGAAGAAGAAGAATGAAGAAGAAAGGGAGAATGAAGAAGAAGGGAGTGAAATGACGATTTTGCCCTCAACACAAATAAATTCGAACCAATTTATGTTTTTCCGGCCAAAATTGGCCGGCAATTTGGCCCGGAGGACCAAATCTGCCAATTTTTGCATAGTTAAAGGTTTAAATTGGGAGTTTTGAAAGTCACGTATTCAAATTGCCAGTACCATACTACTCACAGGACCAAAAGTGCAATTTGTTCTATATAATTTGAATATCATTTTAGTATATGGTACATTTCTTAATATGAGCGTGAAAATTAGGGATGTCAATTGCCCCACGCCCGATCCCCGATCTCTGCTCCAACAAGAACGAGAATGGAAAAAAAATTTGAAGAACGAAGACGAAAAATGTATGAAATTCCCCGTAAGGGACAAAGACAGGACCAGGAATAGCCCTTTCCGTCATGTCCCGTTCTCGAATAATTATTATAATTGAAAAAATAATTAAAAAACAATTCAATATATAATTTATTAAAACCTTAGATTTTAAAATTAACACTTACATTAATTTAAGATTTTGACTAAGAGTTGATTGAGGATGGAAAATTCATTTGAAGGCGGAGATATGAACTATTTTCAATTCTCCACCAAGAATAGAAACGGAGATTCGATCTCATAACCTCTCATATGACAAAGTCACTACATGTCATCTGAGTACAATGATCTCATAACCTTTCATATGAAAAAGTCACTACATGTCATCTGAGTACAATGAGACTTCTAGTTAAAGTTGAAAGAGCCCTGAACTCAGTTATCTTCTCATGAGTAATTTCTGTACATTTTAAAGAATAGATTTGGGTTAAAATAAGAGAGTAGATGACCGCATGGCATGGGCATGGCTCAGTTAAATACTCCGTAGTTAATACTAGTTTGAAGAACCTTATCCACAGACTTTGGACGCTTCCCATGATTCCTTGGAATCCTGAGTATTCCGATCAACGAGTTTCATCACACGATCCCCCTATCAACGGCCACAATCCTAAGAGTCTTCTACACGTTCCCTCCAGCGCGTGGCGTCGGGGACCACCTTAAACGCACACCACTTAAATGGGATATAAATAGAGCTATGATCCAATACACTGCGAATCTATCACAAAATCCGTGACTAAAGCACCGCCTGCCGTTTTACATGGCGAAGTTCTATTTGCACCACCCTATTTACTATTTGCACCCACCTATTTAATAGGTCAAATAGATGGTGCAAATACCAAAGTAGGTGGTGCAAATAAATGTAGTCAAAGTAGGTGGTAACATTTATTATTTATTATTTTTAACAATAAACATTAAAAAAAAAATAAAAAAAATGATCGCCTTCTCCGGTGAGAAGGACTGCCTTCTCACCGGAGAAGGCGATGATTTATTCTTTTTTTTTTTTTTTTTTTTTTTAATTATTTGTGTAATTATTTTTAAAATTTTTATTTTCAATACATATGTTTTTAAATTTTATTTTCAATACTTGTTTTTTTTGTTCAATATAATTTTTTTAACTTTCTATTTTCAATACTTGTTTTTGTTTATGGTTTAATTTTTAAATTCAAAATAATGATTAATTTTGTTATTTTAATATTTTTTATAACTTAAATTTGTTGTATTCATTATTTTATCTTTTTTTATAGAGATATAATAAATAAAATTTGAATCGCTAAAAATTGTAAAAATATATTAACTTCACAATAAAAATAAAATAAAAAATAAATTCATTCAATTTCAATCTAATATAACATTTTTCCGAGTACAATTAGAGCGTACATGCTCATTGTAACTTTCAATCCTATTCATATATGGAGTCATCCATGCATTTGCACAATCATATCTAAAATAAGCCCATTGTGGAGCAATTGTAGGGATTGGGTACCCTCCTGTCAATGTTACCTTGACATAATGGTTATTATTAACATAACCAAGGGTTATTGCTACATGCTCGTACCAAGGTGGTGGGCTAGATCGAAGTGGTAAATATGTTGTACTGCCGGCCATACTCAAAACATGTAGTATCACATTGTATCGGGAAGCAATTAGTACACCCATCTCCGGCATAGTCATCCAGTGCTCAACTGGTGCACACCGATCTTGTGCAAAAAAATTCAACATGTTATAGGCATTATACCATCCTTGAGTTCCAAACATATCGGTATATTCCATTGTGTGAGACTCTAGTTCTTCGATTAAATTGGATCGAATTTTGAACCATTCGTCCTCCTTAAAACCGAGACAGGGAGCTACGGCTCGAAATCCACAGTTTCCGTCAGATTTCACATCTTGCACTTGCATGATAAAAGGATGGAATATAACCGGAAGTTGAAGCATATATGGATGGTAAAAGTGTCTATCACCTGAAGTTGGTGCAGCTGAACAACTATTCCGAGCTTGTTCTTGAAATTGAATATTATTTGGCTCGGCTTTAGTTTTTCTGAGAGATAGAGTTCTTATGAGAGATTTGTTTTTTGAAGTGGGACGCCCACGAACATTTATTTGCACGGGTGGCTCACGGATCGAAGTTGTAGATGGCGCGATCAACTCCCTCAACTTTCTCAATATGTTGAATTTACCGGTTCTTGATTGTTTCTTGAACTGATCCTTAAACATATGAAGCTCATGCTCAACACCAAAATCTTCATTGGTTAGAGAGATGGAAGATGATAAGTCGAGCTTCCTCCAAAAGATATCAATCGAATCAAGTGGGATAGGCTTACCACAGTTAAAATATGTTACCTGCTCGTGTGCACATGGAAGCCCGCAACTTGTTCGCAATCGACATCCACAATTTTCAAAAGTAATCCCGCCAGCCCGTGACCTCTCAAACTCATTAAAAATGAGATTCAGTGCATGAATAGACACAAATCCTCGCAATTCTTGAAAATGTGACGTGTTGAACCGATGTCGAATCAAAATTTTGCTTTGTTCAAGACTTGCTTTGATGGATGTGTCCTGTGACTGAATGACTCTGTCGATATAAACCAATGATGTCTCCAAATCTGACTGCGATGACTCCAAGTATTTTTTTAACTTGGCATGCTGACTCTCAACTCTGTTCGTGGTGTGATTTCCAAAATTGAGATATCGATCAGTCCAAACAGATACAAACATTTCTTTATACGGTTGCAGCCAATTATCATCAATATAACCAAAAACACCTGAAAATGTGAATAATTGAAGAAATAATTACAGTAGTTGAACAAATATGCCTTGTTAAAAAAAATATTAAAATATACATCGAATAATACCTGGAAAGTCAACCAAAACTGCTTGTATTTGAGCTAAATGGAACATATATGATTCATGAGTCTGAGACTCAACTAATGCGTTCCATGATTTGTAGAATAAATCCCAATGATGGTTTGAGGGGATCGATGCCCTGCACTTTCTCAAAATACTTCTATAGATGTGCCATCTACAAAGTAATCCTTTAGCATCCGGATACACATTTTTACATGCTTTCATCAATGCCAACTCTCGATCCGTGACGATAACACGCGGGGTAATGCATCCCTCAATTGTGGCTTTGAGACAATTTAATGCCCAAGTATAATTGGACTCATTCTCTTTGTGCATGAAGGCGAACGCTATGCAAAATGTCATGTTGGTCGAAGTTACACCAACCATTTCGACGAGAGGCATCGAGTACCTATTTGTTTTATAGGTTGCATCTATCAACAGGACATGTGGAAATGCACGCCACTTCTCCATAGATTTAGGATGAACGAAGAATAAATCTTCTAACTCATCTGTTGCATTATTAGTTCGACTCTCATGCACATAACCATTGTTATGTAAAAAAGACATAACAACTTGCATTTGAGTTTTACCTGCATTATCCATCATCCGGAATTTTTGGCGTGCATTGTATATGGTTTTTGTGATGGAAACATTATCCGGATTTTGCATCTTCACCGACGTTAAAATATCTCGTGGTTTCACATGCATCGCTGACAAATTTTCCACCAATTCGACTTCATTTCCTGATAATCGCCTTGCAT